TACAAAATATATCAATATAAATATTAAATATATCAATATAAATATTAAATATATCAATAGATATAAAAATATAAAATATATCAATGTAAATATGTAAACATGAAATGTATAAATATAATTTATTTTTATAATTTTATAAATTATTTTATAATTTATTGTCTCAATACTCTGTATTTGCTCTCCCAGCTCTAGAACCAGCTCGGTGTCCGGGAGTGCCTGAATCCCTATTTTTTTCTCCCCTCCTGGATTTACAATCAAATTGGGATTATTGTTGATTATTTGAATAGTGTAGGAATGAAAACTCAGAAAAGGAGAGGGGAAAAAAGGGAAATAAACCCAGCAGGGTTCGTGTCACCCAGCGCTGTAAAATAGAAATTTTTTTGAAACTATTTCTGGTGAAAATAATAAAAATACCGTCCTATAAAAATCCAAATGAACGGAATTCCCTCTCGCTTTTGTGCCCGAGGCCCTGGAATTGGGGAAAATGTTGACTTGATCCTCCCCCTGCTCGTGATTTCGTTGTGAGGCCACAAAGAGTTCCAGGGCTCTTGGAACCTCGGGAGCCCCTGGATTTGGGAGGAACCGCCATTCCCAAAGCTCCGGAAGAGCCGCTCGCAACCGAATCCTTCCTCCTTCCCCTTTTCCCAGCTGGATTTCTGGATCAACCCCTCCGCCCCCGCCCTCCCCGTGGACGTGAGGATTCCTGCTGCCAACGTCCAGTCGGTCAAAGCCTTCCTGGAATCCCAGGGGATCGAGTATTCCATCCTGATCGAGGACCTGCAGGTAGGGAATTCCGACAGGCACACGTGGAGCCTCCCAACCTTCCGGAAGCAAACCAGGATTCCCGGTTTGGCCTCGTTCCCGGCGTGGGCTCTCCCACGCCCTGTTTTCCGTGAGGTTCTCCCGTTACTTTTGGGTTAGTTCCTCCAAGACAATCCCGGGATTGCTGCAGGTGCTTCCGGAAAAACCGCCTCGGGTGGATTTTGCACTCCGGGGGTTCAAATCTGAATTCCTCCGAGACAACCCCGGGGGAATTTCTGTGGTGTTTCGGCCACGGATATTTGGGAACCACACCTGAAGTTACTCAGGATTCAGTGAAACACGTCAGGAGTAGTCAAGGATAAAAGTTGCCCACTGGGGCACCAATCCAACATCTGCCCGTGAGGAATGATCCCAAAATGGCACCGGAACCAACGAGTCCAGAGGAGGGCACGGAGCTGCTGCCAGGGCTGGATTCCCACTGCTCTGGAGCCAGGCTGGGAGAGCTGGCGGGGTTCCCTGGAGAAGAGAAGGCGGAGGGTGGGGAGGGGCTGGAATGGATTTCCCAGAGAAGCTGTGGCTGCTCATCCCTGGAAGTGT